ACTTGTCCTAACCCTGATGTGCAAAGTATTTTGAAACGAATGGAGTATTGTCTGTTAAGCACCACTTTGTACACAAAAATGTTACTCCCTCTGTCCGAATTATTTGTCGCAAAAGTTGATGCATCTAGCTGTGTTTTTAGTTCTAGATACATCAATTTCTATTTATTTTTGTGACAAGTAATTCGGATGGAGGAAGTATTTGACGGTCTTGACCAATCTATCTACTAGTGAAAACAAATAGGATTCAGTTCAACCACACATTACTACAAATGTGACGCTCCCATATACACATATTTTTTTGAGATCTTTTTTGAAAAATCCATCTTTGATATCTAAGAGAGTAAATTTCACACAATCTATTGGTTTTCTAAAGAACTTGTATATTCAAGGTTGAGCTGAGTTCAGTCCCATATTTGCTTGTGTGAGAAAACTTATCTACGGATATGATACCTCCTATAAACATTCTTTAACTTTTCTTTGAAAAGAAGATATCTTATAAAATTTTGTTTGTAATCAAAAATAAAATTGCTTTATTTCAGGTAAGAAACAGAACAACTATAGTTTTATAAATTCCCCTAAAAAAACTAGAGTTTTATATAAAGGACCCCACAAGATTCAAAATAACAGCCACTAAATCTGACGTGTTGTTTAGAATATTGCTTGTGTGTGAAAACAGATATGAGCCTCCTATAAACATTCTTTTCCTTTTCTTTGCAAAGGCGGACTCTTATAAGATTAAATAAGATAATTTATTCAGATAAGATGCGGAACAACTACAATTTTATATAAAGGTCCCCACAAGATTGGAAAATAACAGGCATTAACTCCGACGAGTTGTTTGGAAGATTGCTTCTGTGAGAAAAACAAATCTACGGATATGAGACCTCCTATAAATATTATTTTCCTTTTCTTTGCAAAGGCAGACTCTTATAATTTTTTTATAGGAATAAAATTGCTTTTTCAGATAAGAAACGAAACACCAATTGTGCTATTAATATATTAATATGAGACTTCTGTTATACAAAATGATAATTACGAAGAGGTACTTTATGAATATGAATGTAACTACGAACATTTTGTGTTACATAACGTATACATACTAATAATAGAATAATTGTTGGATAAAAACTTGTCCTAATGAACCCTAATATGCAAAGTATTTTGAAACGAACGGAGTACTGATTGGCCATACAATCACTATTCTGGACCCCTTTCATTCTGCGGTGACGGAGGGGTCATACCGTTCGAGGCTTTTTCATAATTTGTAATTAATCCTTGTCTTGTTTGCTGGATTAGGTCTAAGTTTCTTAATGAACTAGGTGTTGATACAATAAAAAAAACTACAATAGACAAACTATAATCTTTTGCCTTTCCCTATTTCTTCTCGTAAAGTTCCACGCAGTTTGATGACGGGTACACCAGAGGTGTGTCCTTCATTGTCCTCTAGTACTAGGGAAAGGTCCTCTCAATGCTCTAACCCCACTATACCTTTGTAAGCTAAAAATGTTAATTAATATTTGATGGTCTTGACCAATCTATGTGGTGAAATCAAATAGGATCCCATTCAACCAAATATTACTCATATCTTTTCGAAAATCCATCTTCAATATTTAAGAGAGTGAATTTCACATATCTGTTGGTTTTGTATAGAACTTGTAGAATCAAGGTCGAGTTAAGTTTAGTCCCAAATTTCTTATGTGAGAAAACATATGTACAAATATGAGACCTCCTGTAAACATTCTTTTCCTTTTCTTTGCAAAGGAGATCTCTTCTAAAATTATGTTTTTTTATAGAAAATAGAGTTATCATCGATGAGAACAACCCACCTTAGAAAGAATTTCGATGTAGCAATGAACCGTCAGGGTCATGATCTGGACTCCATCAAAGAGAACTTCCTTGAGGTTTCACAAATCGCTTGAACCACCAGGGTTGTCTGGGGTTTGATCACGACGAACACATCTTGGATCAGTGAGAGCTCCATCGGCGTAGAAGGAAACAACCGTCTGATGCCGCCATGAAGGAATATATAAGAACATTCTCTGCTTTGCGGACGAACCACCACATATCACGGTCAAACAAAAGATACAACCGGTGAAGACCAACCTATACAAGTTCTCGCCGAAGAAAAACAACACACCACAGAAACAACGATGAATCCAGTAGGACTTATTCAATGGAGAGGTCACCCCGTCATCTCAACTCCCTCCCACACAAAACCTACCAATCTACACCACTCAAACCAGATCAAAGCTCTCCGCAACGACGCAACACCCTATAGGGAGCCAAGGGGAAAACACCAATCCAGTTGGAAGGGGCAAAGCAACCAAACCCTAATCTACCGGTGACCACACGACGCGCTCTGGAGGACTCGACAAAATTGGTTTTGTGTAGTCTTGTTTTCCGTAACAAAAAAAATGGGTTGTGTTTTTGGGTCGTGATAATCGTACTAGTGGATCCCAAATTTTTTATCCGTTTTCCTCCCGCGAGTCCGAAATGACCAAACCCATCAACTCCATCGACAACCAAGAAGTCGGAGTCAACGTTTACCCCCACTTTCTTCAGTGTATGAATCAATAAATTGCCGCTCCAGATCAACCCTCCGGCAACCCACCGCCTCCAAGACTCGCTGCGGCATATTGCTTGATGCCCCAGATCCCATAAGAGCGAGTTACTTTGCTTTGGGAAGGTCAAAGAAACAGAGAGTGAGTGTAGGCAACTCTTCGATCGTGAGGTGGGTACTCTTCTGTTAATGTCCCTTGGAATACCCATTCATCATTCTAAACTCATGAACAAAGAATGAAAAAATATTGAAGATCGCTATCAAAAGAAGCTCAACAGTTGGAAGGGAAAACTCATCTTGTATGGGGCACGATTAAATCTCATCAACGTTGTTCTCACAAGTCTACCCATGTTTATGATGTCCTTTTTTGAAAACCCAAAGGGGTGTTGAAGAGGATTGATTTTTACTAATATAGGTTCTTTTGGCAGTGCAATGAGCACAGACGGAAGTACATACTAGCTAAGTGGGATATCTTGTGGCGGCCAAAGGGTCAAGGTGATTTCGATACTTGAAACATAGAGATAAAAACAAGTGCTTGCTTAGTAAATGGCTATACAAATTTCTTAATGAGGAGGGTGTATGGTAAGAGATTCTTCATAATGAGTACCTATGTTTCAAAACTCTATCTCAGGTGGAAGCAAAAACGACACTTGCCTTTTTGGAAGGGTTTGATGAGGGAAAGTCTTCTTTCTTTAAGAGAAGTTCTTTTAAGGTTGGCGATGGGCAATCTACGAGTTTTGGGAAGACACTTGCTTGACGGACAACATGCTTGCTCTACAGCACAAGAGAAGTTCTTTTAAGGTTGGCGATGGGCAATCTACGAGTTTTGGGAAGATACTTGGTTGACGGACAACATGCTTGCTCTACAGGACCCACCCATTATACAACGTGGCACGTAGAAAAAAATGAGACCGTGCACTTGGTGTTGGGATTAACACATCTAAACATCCAACTTAGGGAGACTTTGATTGGGGGAAAATGGATAAAGTGGCTTACAAGTTGATGTTGGTCAACTTATCATAAACACTGGATGTATTCAAATGACGGCTGAATACTAATGGTGTTTTTACAGTCATGTTTATGTATGAGGATCTTATCAATATGGGACCGGTGTTCCATCATATTTCGAAGATTAAGGTCTCAATTAAATTAACATTTTGATGTGGTTTGTGTAGAGGGAGGTGGTTCTTACTAAGATAATTTGGCTAAGAGAAATTGATATGGATATAAAAAATATTGTGTTTGCGATCAGTAGGGAACAATCTAACATATTGTTATGTCTTGTCCATTAGCTTCCTTGATTTGATGCATGGCTCGTGTACCAAGTATTGTAAAATTGTTTGTGAACTGGCTGGTTGATATTCACAACAATCTTGAGGGCAAAAAAAAAGTATCACAAAATTGTTTGCAAGCTGGTATTCACAACAATCTAAGGGACATATCCGTATGGGAGTTTGTGCCTTCATTGAAATTGCCAATTTGAATTTGTCGAAATTAACGGATAGCACTCAAGGTTATGTGGTCGTTACTACAGCATGTGCATGCTGAGGAGCTTATTTGCACAAGCTTTATCAACCAGTTTGGTGTGGACGTGTGGTTGAGTCATGTAATCCTTTTATACATTTTATTATCTTTTTATTTTTATTGCCACGGGGACTTCTTTCTAAACTTTTGCAGTTTTATAAATTATGACTCTGCAACAATGCGGAGGGGTCACGTCTGTTCTGATCCCGAGCTCACGTGAGCTGGTGAACAGTAAAAAAAGAACAAATCCCAGTACATAATGCTGAAGGCCCCTTTCAAAAGAAATTTTCACACAAAAAATGGGATTTGTTGGATTTTTTCATATTTTTTTAATTTTACTGTTCACCCAAGCTTTTCAGAGAGAGAAGACAATTCTAGTTTTTTTTCCGCAATGGCTAGGATTTAAAACCGTTGATGAAATATGCTTGTTGCAACTTAACACCCTACAGAGCTTACCACAAATCTTTGGACCTGCTAAAACAAAATAAGCTATCGACTAATAATAGGAACTACACGCAGAACTCCTTCAGAGCAAGAAATATACTCCCTCCGTTCCTAAATATTTGTCTTTCTAGACATTTCAAATAACTACTACATACGAATGTATGTAGACATATTTTAGAGTGTAGATTCACTCATTTTGCTCCGTATGTAGTCACTTGTTGAAATGCCTAGAAAGACAAGTATTTAGGAACCGAGGGAGTATAATACAGTTCAGGCATAGTATGTCGTATGACTTGATTACTAAAGTCAAATAGTACATAATGCTGAATTGCTGATGCATGTAGTGGCTTAAACATCTTTCAACACAACACGTACACAACAACCATCACATATCCTTCTGTGAAAATAATGAAACACGGTGTAAGGATTTGAGTTCTCTGACTGGCTTGAGATCGATCGAAGACTAGTGTTGTCATGTGTTGACAGAACTCCAGTAGAGCCAGAACTTAGTAGAAGGGCCTGCGCGGACGGCGGAACCTGGGAGCTCTCCTGCATTAGGAAAAACAGGAGGGCATTTTAGACGAGTGATGATGATGCTCTCATTATTTCAGAGGCCCAAGGGGCAAGGGGTACCAAGTAAACAAAATTAAACTTACCCATAACCACCATAAGGATTGTAAAACGGTGGAGGATATGGCCTCATGTAGGGGTGGCCGCCATATGGGTTGAATCCTCGGCCCCCTCGGGGCTGCTTCAACCCAGGAACGTTAGTCCGCTTAGGCGCTACCTGATGAGCACACAAGGAAGGTCAGCATACCACATAGGTTATTGCTGAAAACAAGGTAGTCAGTTGCAGTATGAGGGGAGTATGAATTCACAGCTCACCTTGATTTGCCGACCATGAAGCTCTGACTCACTCAGCTTGACAGCTTCCTGAATAGCTTCTGCTTCAACAAATTCGACGTAAGCAAAACCTTTAGGCTGCCCAAACTTGTCGGTCAGGATAGTCACTCGGTTGACGGTTCCGCAAGAATTGAAATGCTGCTGCACTTCTTCTGGAGTGCATGCATAGTCAACCTGCAGTTGTGATCATTACAATTACAAAACATAATGAGTATACTTACGATGTCACATAAGACATTAAAAATCAGCTTGCAACTAATGAAACATTCAAAATAAACCAACAGCACCAGACTGCATCTCAATTTTAGCAAACTATCAACCTGTGAATTCACTAGAGCTCCACAGTAGTTAGTACTTCTATACTGTTCTAGAATAGAGATAAATTTCATCAAACATCCTAAATTTTGACTGGTTATGTCACTCACAATAAGAAACTATTGTTACTTGATCCACTAGATTTATGAACACTGGACCTGTGATGCAAGTTAATCAAGCACATTTGCTTTGCCTCTAAGAGCATATAGCCTAGCACTCCTCGCACGTATTCCTTACTAGAAACAAATGTACTTCTGTCATAATAGTGATGCACGCAAAGCAAATTCTGTTATACATATGCGAGGACAAATTACTAGGTACATAGATACACAGAACTGACGATGTAAACAGATAAACTTGGAGCTGATAGTGGTACTGGTCTGCAGCTCAGCCTCATATTAATTTTTCATAAGGAAAAACATTCACGTCTGCAATGTTCTATGGCTTACACAATACGGTTTGACCTGCATATAGTAACTAATTGTTCGCATTTACAAGATTTTACAGCCTACACACTAGACCTTAAACAGGATGTAATGGACAAAGGAAAACAGATACTCATCCTGCAATGTTTATTTAATATCTAGTCATGTCGACTTCTAAAATAAGTGGCATATCATAGGCTTCTTGCTACATAGACAACAGGCTGAAAAGCATATTGACACACATACACCAAAAGTCAAAATAGGGAACAGCAGTGCTTGCAAAGGTCTGCACAATATATGTTACTACTAGAGCAAGTCTGTCATTGGTACATCAGAGAAAGCGAAAAGCAGGTATATAAGTTACATGCTTTCAGACTGACATGCCCCCAATGCCTATATGAAATAATAAAACACCGCGACTACAGATATCATTTAATCATATAGACCCCCCTAAACACCAGCACTCTAGTTAAATTTTTGACATACACACTTCCTACGGATATTTTAAAGCAAAAGGAAACTCTATTGGTTATATTTTGCTGAAAGATGACAAAAGTGGCAGATGAACCATTAGATTAATTATTAAAACATGATTAATTCCAAGGGGGGAAAAGACACATACTACAGAGAATAAAACACTCCAGGAGGCATAACATGAAAAAAAAAACATAGCATTCTTCAATAGACACAACATAAAATGTGAGGTCACACTTACATGTCATGCCTATGCACCCCTGCCACTGATTCTCATCTACCGATGGCTATTGATACCATGCCACATCAGTCCATGTATGAGTCTCAAGCGCCAGGTGGAGTACATGCAGCAGTTCTCTACTGACATTTTCGGGGGCATTTCCTATCACACTGTATTTTTTTTTCCTTTTTTTCTTCCTTTTTCTATATTCTTTTTCTTTTTACTTTTTCAAATATTTTCTTTTTTTTCATGGATTTTTTCCTTTTTTTTTCTTGCCCCCTCTAAGCTAACACTAGAACTTGCACTGAGACTCAGCCAGATGCCAAAATTTCGATTTCAAAGACTTGATGATAGCAGACTACCCTGCGGCCAATGTCATTTCTCAATCAATGCACCAGGAAAAAAAATACATTGATAAAAATAGAAAATACATAGTGCATTTCAAGTCACTGATAAAATATGATTGTCAACGATACATGCTCAAAGTTATGGCACTATTTAGGGGACTAAGACACATTGCTGATTGGCACTATGACACAATCTATTGGGAATCAAAACAAAAATCATCAAAGTATAGATAGAATGTTTTGTGGAAACATCAATACCTAATCTATGAGCACCTTAAACAAAATTTGGGCTGGTCAAGCAAATCAAGTAGTTAACTTGAACATGAGCTTTTCTATAAACGATTTCACAAGCATAACAAACATTATCACATGTAAATAGAAACATATGGTATCAGTTTTATCGCATATACCTAGGCAATATCATAACTACTATGAAATGTAGGAGTGCCAACTAAATTTAGACATCAACAGAACGAAAACTTACATTTCCAACAAAAACAGAACGAGAATCCATCTCTTCTTTTGCTTCAGATGTGGTCGCGTTAGGATCTCCACCTACATGGTACAAAGGCTCAACGTGTTAAGATATTTGCAAGGAAATATTAATATAGAAATTACAGTATAAAGCGTTTAACAAAGCCTAAAAGAATATGCTCCGAGATTGATCCGACACAGAAATATGATGTTTTTACATTTGAGTATGCTTTGGCAAGCAAAGAGGCAGTTACGAACAATCATTTTGTACAAGCTTACATAATACAATGGTGTGGAACGGTTCATACAGAGCCTCTAATACTCCCATATTATGTTTTACCACAGCAGAACTACCATAACCCCCAACTGGTTGAGAGAGTTCTTTTTCTAAAAGGAAATTAAGAGGATTATGAATGCGTGAAACAACATTATATACATCCCAAGGCAGGCAACCTACCAAAATTGCATATAACAGACGATCAAGGGACTAACCAAAAGCAATTAAACCACACCATACAACTAACTACGCTGGTTAACATACCCATACACTAATGGGCAACAAGAAAGGAGGCGATCCTAGGGCGTGTTAGGATCCAGCCTTGCGAACGGAAGCAAGCCAAAAAGCTGGGTAACGAGGCGACCTCGCCGAGGAACCAAACCATTGGCTTCCATGCTGGGCTGGGCGTGGCCAGCGCTTGCCCGAGACCCAAACGTTCCACTACTGTCCCGGATCTGAAATTCCCCAACCACCCTGCCCCGAATGCGGGTCCTAAAGTTGATACCGACAGGTTCCGTACACGGACACGGCACTGACCTTGCATCTCCTTGGCGACCTTGGCCTGCATCTCGCGGAGGGCGGCGGCCTCCTCCTCCATCTCCTTGAGGCGGCGCTTCATCTCGTCGAGCTCGTGCAGCTGGACACGAACAGGGTCAGTACCGGCGTTAGGGTTTGGGGTGCGGAACCGGGAGAGAGGGGTCGAGCGAGCCGCGGCGGCGGCGGCGGGCGCATCACGAACCTTGGCGGCGTCGTCGCCCCCGGCACCCATGTCGACGTCCTCGCCGTCGACGGGGATCTCCTGGCCGTACACCTCGTGCTCCTCGTCCTCCATGGCCGCCGCGTGCTGAGCTCGAAATCCAATCTACTCTCGCCTCGGCCTAACCTAACGCGAGGGCGATTTGTCTCGGGGACTTTGGGGAATTCGGGATTGAGTTTAGGGACAACGGGCTTTTTAATAGAGTGGAAGCGTGTCAGAATCGGACCGGGGGATTGGGCTGAAGCATCGTTTGGGCTATTTCATTAAGCTCATCGGCCTCGGAACGCTGTTTTAGCCCAAACTTTTGCCATATATTATTCGGTTCGTCTAAAAAAACAGATTCTCTCTCAAAAAAATGCCAGATATTCGGCTTGCTAAATTTTGGTTAGCTCTGAACAAAAATGGAACGGTTAGCTTAACCATGAGTTGGATTAAACTAGCAAAAAATGTCCGTGCGTTGCAACGGAAGAAAAATTTATCACATGTGTTTTTAATTACCCTTAAAATAAATATATTTCCAAACAAAATTTGTTTTACTCATAGCTAATTTGCAAGCCAATGTCACATCTTCAATTCTGATCCAACATGTGATAGACGGGAACTATCAAGAAATTCTCAGGGGCATGTGTAACTAAAAAGATGAACAAAACCGAAAGGAATTATAGCTTTGCTTGTCTCTTTTCTCATTGTGCACTTGCCTGTCAGATAAAAATGATATGTTAATAACAACATTTTTTACGTCAATAACAACATATTAAAGTATGCAATATCTAAAGACTCATAGGGCCTGAAAATAGAAAATAACAACATATTAAAGCATTTTTTTTGCGGGAAAAGAATTTGTATTACTCAAAAATCAAATTCTTACAATCATCATGAACAATCCTCAACACTTCCTCCGGGCCCGAACCAACCCAAGTAATAGTTCGGCCCTCAGTTCTAGCGAAACTAGCAAGTTTATCACTAGCTTTATTTTGACTACGAGGTACATGAGTAATACAAAACTTTCTAAGACTCAACAGGTGCTTGATCTCACCCACCAAAGGGGCGTAAACTGAGCGGTCCGTCTCCTCACATGAAATCATAGACACAGCATTGCTCGAATCCATCTCAACTTCAATTGGTTGGTCCGACCGCTGAATAGCAAAGGATAATCCTTCCATGCATGCGCCTAGCTCAGCTTCCAGAGCATCTCTACACGAAAACAAGGTTCTGCATGCTGAGAAAATGATCGCCCTAGCGCCGCAGGATCATCCCGGCTCCCGCTCCATCTGATTCAGCAAAGGAACCATCAGTGTTTAGTTTCACCCAGCCCTGTTTCAGAGGCTTCCATGTTGTATCCTGTACCACACGCTTCACCTGCTGCACTGCACTACCATAGATAATGCTTGCTTTTCCTTTTGCTGGATCCCCACAGTCCCCAGCTCGGATCCCAATCAGTTCATCCATGTACCTTTGGAGGAAACGCGCTGACACTGCCATGGGAGGGGCCAGTTTGCCATGTGTTACCTCATTGCGTATGTACCAACATCTCCAAAAAATTAGCAGAATCATGCCTCTCTGAGTATCACTCAGTTCTGCAAGCACATTGAGGAGCCACTCCTTCCCTGAGTTTTGAAAAGATAATAGCTGGGGAATCTACCATATGGTAGACATCTGCTCATAAAGGTCCCGACCAAACTGACACCTAATAAAAGGATGGAAATTATCTTCCTCCTCCAGGCCACAAACAGGGCATGTACTACTCACCTCCAAACCAATCCTGTGTTTATTCTTCTAAGTGGGCAGTGAATCAATTGACAGTCTTCATGCAAAGTTACGTACTGTAGGTGGAACGTTACACTTCCAGATATACTTCCAGCACGAACGATTGCCGTCCGGCGACGAGCTAGACGCCACAGCCGTGGCCCTGTTAGCCTCCTCAAACGCTAGCGCTATCCCGCAGGATCATCCCGGCTCCCGCTCCATCTGATTCAGCAAAGGAACCGTCAGTGTTTAGTTTCACCCAGCCCTGTTTCGGAGGCTTCCATGTTGTATCCTGTACCACACGCTTCACCTGCTGCACTGCACTACCATAGATAATGCTTGCTTTTCCTTTTGCTGGATCCCGACAGTCCCCAGCTCGAATCCCAATCAGTTCATCCATGTACCTTTGGAGGAAACGCGCTGACACTGCCATGGGAGGGGCCAGTTTGCCATGTGTTACCTCATTGCGTATGTACCAACATCTCCAAAAAAATTAGCAGAATCATGCCTCTCTGAGTATCACTCAGTTCCGCAAGCGCATTGAGGAGCCACTCCTTCCCTGAGTTTTGAAAAGATAATAGCTGGGGAATCTGCCATATGGTAGACATCTGCTCATAAAGGTCCCGACCAAACTGACACCTAATAAAAGGATGGAAATTATCTTCCTCCTCCAGGCCACAAACAGGGCATGTACTACTCACCTCCAAACCAATCCTGTGTTTATTCTTCCAAGTGGGCAGTGAATCAATTGACAGTCCCCATGCAAAGTTACGTACTGTAGGTGGAACGTTACACTTCCAGATATACTTCCAGCACGAACGATTACCGTCCGGCGACGAGCTAGACGCCACAGCCGTGGCCCTGTTAGCCTCCTCAAACGCTAGATTATATGCCAACTTAACCGTAAACCTGCCCAGCTTCTCGGGACCCCATGCAATAACGTCGTCCCGACGCCTAGGGGATGCTCTAATTTTCAATATCTCCTCCACATCCGCTGGTACAAAGACTCGTTGCAGTACCTCCAAATTCCACGATCCGTTCTCATTTAGTAGTCCGGACACAAACCGAATACGACACCGACCCGGTAGCGATACTGGCTTGTAAGAGAATGGTCTCGGGATCTAGTTGTCTCTCCACACCCTAATATTGCGCCCATTCCCAACTCTCCATATCAAACCTTTCTTCAAAAGATCAAGACCATGAGATATCGCAAGCCATGAAGAAGAAGCATTGCCAGAGAATACAGTGTCCACCAAATTGCCATTGGGGTAATACCTCGACTTGAGAACTTGCGCGCACAAGCTTTCAGGCTTCGTCAACAATCGCCACGCCTGCCGGGCCAGCAGTGCTTGATTGAACAACCGGAAGTCCCTGAAACCTGCACCCCCTTTGCTCTTTGGCTGTAGAAGATGATCCCAGCCTCTCCAGTGTACTTTCCTCTTTCCTTTACTAGAACCCCAATAGAAATTCCTTACCATCCGTGTCAAATCGTCACACACCGAGAAAGGTAGCTTGAAAACCCCCATGATATATGTTGGCAATGCTTGAGCTACAGCTTTAATCAAGACCTCTCTTCCTGGTTGCGCCAATAGGCCGTCACCCCATTGGATCAGTCGCTTTGTTAGACTAGTTTGAAGATTCTGAAATTTCCCCTTGGACATGCGCCCCTTGGGGGTTGGGAGGCCCAAATATTTTTCTTTAAACGCCGTTGAAGTAACACCCAGAACGTCTCGCACTTGCACCTGTGTCGCCCCTGGGCATGCAGCACCAAAAAATATTGAGCACTTGTTAAAATTCAAACTTTGTCCCATGGCACTCTCATACATGAGCAACGCTGCCTTCACATTTTCTGCTTGTTCACTAGAAGCCTCAAAAACAGCAAGGTATCATCCGCAAATAACAAATGTGATATACCCGGAGCTCTTCTGCAAACTCTCACGGGTGTTATACTACCAGCCGCAACCTTGCTCTTTAAGATCGCTGATAATCCATCCACAATAAACAAAAAAAGGAATGGAGATAGAGGGTCGCCTTGCCGAAGCCCACGCGGCGGTGCAAATGAATCCAAGAGGGTCCCGTTTAATTGAACACGATACCTCACCGATGTGACACAAGTCATAATCCAGTCAATCCATCGCTGAGTGAAACCCCGCTTTTGCATCACCTGCTCCAAGAAAACCCAATCCACTCTGTCATAAGCTTTTGATAAGTCCAGCTTGTATGCATAAAAACTCTTCATGGGATCCTTCTCCTGTTTTATGTAATGTAAACACTCGAAGGCCACAAGAGCATTATCTGTAATCATCCTGCCTGGCACAAAGGCACTCTGTTCCGGTGAAACCAGAGTGTCTAGGAGTGGCCTAAGTCGATTCACCAAACACTTCGAAATCACTTTATAAATTACATTACAGAGGCTAATGGGCCTATAGTCAGAAATCTTTGCAGGGTTAGAAATTTTAGGAATCAGAACAATGGAAGTCGAGTTTACCCCTTCTGGCATAATTCCAGTGAAAAAAAAATCCTTAACCGCTGCAATAACATCATCTTTGACCGTGCTCCAGTTCCGCTGAAAAAACCTCGCGGGAAAACCATCTGGCCCCAGTGCCTTAAGTGGACCAATTTGGAACATTGCGTCCGCTATCTCCTTATCTGAAAAGGCCGCACATAATTTAGCATTATCCTCCTCCGTCACCATTGGCTCCAAGAGATCCAGTACCGATCCAGCATCAAGAGTTGCATCCGCTGAGAATATCTCATGAAAGTAATTATTTGCAATCTCGCTCATCGCTGCAAATTCTGAGTGCATTACACCAACGCTATCAGTTAGCTGTCTGATTTTGTTTTTCCGTGCCCTCCACACAGCCTTATTATGGAAAAACTTAGTATTCCGATCCCCCTTTTTCAACCATGAGATCCTCGATCTTTGCAACTAGATCATCTCCTCTTGGTATAATAGCACATTCATCTTATCTGTCACCCTGCCAATATCATTTTGATCTGCGTTCATATGCATAAGCTCCTCGAGTTGGATTCTGGATTTAGCCAGTTCCTAGTGACATTCCCAAATTTCCTACCCCAAGTGCCGAGTGAGATCATGGTCTTTGACAGGGCGTCACGCAGCTGAGCAAGGTTGCTGTGACGCCCCAAGACCGACGTGCCAGGTGTCTCCCAGTTATTCGTTGTTGTTGCCATGTCATTCGCTTGCGTGTTGCATCTTGCCATGTCATCATGTGCATTGCATCATCATGTTTTAAAAACTTGCATTCGTCCGGGTTTCCCCAGTTTCGTCCGTTGTCCGTTCTGAGCCCAGACACACTTGCACGCGCCCG